CAGCCTCCCAAGTTCTGAGGAAATGACTCAGCATCGGGTGAGGATGGAGCAGAGCCCCCTCACACACTCAGAGATTCATGCGTCATTTTCAATACAGCTCACAAGGATACACCCCGGCGAAGCAAGATAGGAAACCATAAACAGACAGCCAGGTGGGCCAAGAATCAGAGACTCGGTTGACAGGAGCTGTAACGGACTGACAAAGAGGGGTGAACCAGGCTGAGAGCAACCATCCAGCCAGAGGGAGGTGGGGTGGCAGCAAAGAGGGACCTAGCAGAGCTGCAGGACCCTAGAGACAAAAGAAATCCATTCCATTAAAAAGCAAAGATATCTGAGGTCTAAGAAAAGAAAACCTTAACCGAGAAAGTCTTGCCAGGGCTGGAGAGATGCTCAGTGGTTAGGGCTGCTGGCTGCTCTTCCAGAGGACCCAGGTTCAATTCCCAGCACCACGTGGTGGCTCACCATCGCCTGTAACTCCAGTTTCAAGGACACCCTCTTCTGGCTTCCTCAGGGTACCAAGCACGCACAGACATACATGCAAACAAAGCACACATACACATAAAATTAAATTTAAAAATAGGTATTAAATAAAAAAGAAAGAAAATCCTGCTAAAGCACAGAAGTAATGCATTAGCACCAAAACTCCAGGCCGGTGCCTCTCCGTGCTCCTCCATGCCCTGCAGTCGCCTGCCGCAGTTGCTACAGCTCTGCCCCATGCTGGGGAGGGGACCTGCAGCCACAGTGACCCTAGACCAAGAAGCGGGCAGAAAGTGAGGGCCAATCACACGAAGCCGCTGAGTCCCTCCCACCCCTCCCCCAGGGCCGCAGCCTCGGAATGGTGCCCACTGGCCCTGGATCTTACTGACTTACTTGGAACGGGTGACCAATGGGATAGGCAACTGAGGCCCACTTGAAGGTGAGTGGATGTGGGAGTCCTGGCACCCCTCTAGCACACTTCTGGGCACCATCATCCCCAGAGGTCAGCTCAAGGGGAGGGGACCATAGGGACAACCAGGGGCTGTTGTGACCCCTAGAGCTCCACCAAAGGGAAGGATGTCCTGCCCAGCCAGTCTCAAAAATTCACAGACCTAAGACTGCTCCAGTAGATAGTGTAGCAGCTGCTTACCCTGAGCTTTGGAGATCAAAGATGGTGATCACTGAGTCTTACTGGAGGATGGGAGGCGGCACTATGCTGCCCCCCTGGAAGGGGCAAGGAATGGGGGTCTAAGAGAAAAGGGAAAGACAGATGGGAGGGGTGGGAGGTAGACTGAAGGCACTAAAAGAGCAGCAACTGTTTGGTGCCTGGAAAAGTCAAGCATGACTTTTCAGGAGCCTCAGTGTCTGCATCTGAGTAATGGGCGTGCTATCACCTCCTCACTGTCATCTGTGCACACAATGGCACAGTGCAGTTTATGTCATATAAATGTCCCCTGCTTTCTTCCCTGCCCCAAGCCTATGGGGGAGAGGAGACATGGGGAGGAAGGAAGGGGGGGTCTGCAAGCCTTCTGAAGGAGGCAGCACCCAAGATGCCTTTCAGGAAGATCTAGGCCTGGAAAGACAGCCATCCAGAGAAGAGTCAAACGGTGGGAAAAAGCAGGGACCCTGGGATGCTGAATGCATGTGTGTCTACACATGTGCGTCTGTGTGCGTGAGTGTGACCTGTGCAGATGTGTATACATGTGACTGTTCCATGGTGTGTTTGTATCTGGTGTGTGTGGCTGCAGCCCCACAGGTGAATGGGGGGGAACATGAAACCCTTAGGGTCTCAATGGCCCTGACTGCTCCTGCAGTCCCCTACCCTTGAGCTGACCTCTGGTCTGTCCCAGCGTAAGGTTAGTGGTACCCAGGAAGTCCTAGATCGATGCCAGAACTCGTGCTTCTGTCTACGCCTGCCAGCCACCCTCAGGTGGGCCACGGCTGCCTTCCCCACCTATCTCCAGCTCAAACCAGGATGACGAGAAGTGAGAGGTCCATGGGAGCCAGCATGGAAGGACACTGCCAACCCAAGCAAGGGGAGACTCAGCTGCTTAGTGCCCCTGGTCCTAACTCCCCACCTGCTTCTAGGACCAGGGCTGCCACTGCTGCAGGTCCCTGGGCGGGAGTAAGGTAGGTGGATGTGAGTCCTGAAATCTGAGCAGGAGATGGCGCACAGGGGGACCTCCAGACAGACCATCTGAATGTCTCTGTCTGCCCACACTGCACCCAGGATTAGATTAAACATAGGGTATAAAGGCTTTGCTGAGGGCAACTCAGGAACTAAGTGCCAGCTGAAAGGACTGGGTGGGTACTGGTAGGTAGAGGAGTCAGGAGGGCCTTTGCTGCTGACCTTGACTGGATCTTCCATCCCCACAGTGTCCCTCCTATATCATGGCAGGCCTGGCTCAGCCAGTCTGCGTCACCAAGACCGTGGGGGAGGTGCAATCAGTCAGGCCAAGTGTGGATCCAGGACCCTGGTTGGGCTCAGGGGTAAAGCAGCACTACCACCTCAGGGAGGCCGAGGAGGCTCTCTGCACTGCCTCTGGTGTTGCTTCTGGGGCGGGCCGTGGGAAGCTCTGTCCTTTGGGCCTAAGGTTTTTGCCCATGCTCTAGGGAACACGTGGACCTCTGCACATGGCATATTACGTGTTCATCTGTTAGCTCAGTGGCCCAGGCCCATCACTCTCCACAGGTGACCACTGAGACCCTCCCAGTTCTTGGAAAGGTGAGCTCTGTCTCAAGGCTTGGCCAGGGTACAATTTTTGTGCCTCCTTGAATAATCTTGTCCTTCTGAGCTTTTGCTGGGGCCGGTCAGACTCACCTGCTACCTGTCTTTGCTGCCCACCCCCCAAACCCTGTACAAAGCCCACAGGAGGGTTGCCCTGCTACATTTGCAGAGCACACAATCATCATAAGAGACAGAAAAAAATAGGCATAGAACAGGCTGAATCCTGAATCCTGAGACACCCCCTGCCCGCTGCCTCCTGGCCTGGTCTTGAATCCTACTCAGCCACTCATCAGCTCTGGCTTTGTGCAGAGCACAGGCCTCCACCTGTCTGAGGCTAGTGCAGTCTGCAGGTTCCATGCTCCATCTGGGTAGGGCGTTAGGACAGGGGGCACAGGCAAGAGAGGCATCCAGCCTGACAGGTCTCAGTGGGGGACCCCACCCCCCGCGGTCACATTGCAAGCTCCCACACAGGGCTTCTCTGACCAGTGGCCCACAAACCAAGAAGGACAACCTGTCCTTCAGATCCATCCTCACTGCAGGAGGAAGCCGCTAGTAGGGGGTCCCTGCCTTGGGAACAGGGCCCTCCCCAGGCTTCACACCCAGAGGACGCATAGCTTCCCCGCAGCCCTCCGCCTGAGAAGGCTTGAATGCTGACTCCACCCACCAAAAGCAAGGAACCTGCAGAGGACCACGCTTGTGCAGAGGTCTGCCTTGGACCCTGCAGCACCCCTCACCCTGCTCCTCCACACCTGCCCTGCCCACCCCCTCCCCACAGCCTGACTAGGGCAGGTGACCAGCCACACCTGCAAAATGGCCGCCGCAGGTGCGGCCCCAGCCCCCCGAACCCCAACAGCCTCCCTGCAGCCTGCGCTGCCTCCTTAGACAGAGGCGCCGGGCACGTTGCCCTGGCAGCCGCCTTCGGCCAGCTTGGTGTGACCGTATCTTCCGCAGGAGCCTGCGCTGAGTCTGTGGGTCCCCGGGATTGGACTCGCACCAGCCCTGAGCGCAGCAGGAACTCTCCGCACCTCCTCCTCCCTCTGCCGCCTCGTGATCCAATCCGCTTGCCCTAGCAGGCCTTTAATCCCAGCAATGCGGTCCCCTCTTAGGTAGGCTAGCCGCTGGGGGACGGGTCCTCTGGCCTTCGGGGGTGGGGGTGGGGAAGTCCCCATTCCTGGGGACGTGGGCGCGCATCGGGTCCGCGCCCGGGCGACGTTGCGCCGGCGCCCAGCAGGCCCCATGACTTGGCAATCCCTCTCTCCCCTCCCCCGCCCCTCGCCTGTGGCCCCCAGCAGCCTGCACCCCACCGCAACGCAGACCCTCCCTCTCCCTCTCAGCCCGAATGCGGTCCCTGCCCCTTGGGGAGCAGAGGGCGGTGGCCTTCCCCTAGGAAGCAGTTGGGGCGAGGAGTGGCTTAATGAGGGAGTGCGAGGGTCTTCGCAGGCAACGTTCCTAGAGTCAACCCATTGCCAGACGCCCGGGGATCTCTGCTAGCCCAGACGACGCGTCCCTCAGCCCCCTCCCTCCAGCCGGGGGCCACACCTGTTACTGGGGCGCTGGCTTAGGGCTGCCAGGCGTGTCTGCGGGTGGTTCCTCCCGCGCTGTGTCTTTCTGGAAGGGAAATGGGGTCTCTGGAGGGAGGGACATATATATAGCAATAGGAGTGACGGGCAGTCACCGGTGAAGTGCGCATTAAGCCGGTGGCCTGGCCGTGGCGCCGCATCCCCCGCCCCGCCCGCCTGTTTTGCTGTCGTATCCAGCATCGGCCCTCCCCCACCCACCGGGGACCAGAGCCGCTGCCCCGCGCACCCTTCCCTAGGGCCTGGATCAGCAGCCGCGCCCCGTCCCGACACCCCGCAGCCTTGTCCTGGTCCCTGCTCGGCATCTCTGCCTCCCCTCCCCCGCGGATCCGTCGCATCCCTCTGGGTAGCTCCTCTGCAGTGGAGGGATACAGGGGGAAAGGAGGCTGTGACCAAATCGGCCGGTCCCTCTCGCTGGCGACCTCCGCCCACACGGGCCAAGGGTCGCTCAGCAGCAAAGGAGTCTTTTCTGAGGGCCCTGAAAAGCTTCGCAAGGAGCACCGACACCCCTGAATTCGCCCCTTTGTTCTTCAAAGAGGCGGAGGAAGGTCGGGGGAAGGGAAGCCGCAGCTCCAAGCCCGCGCTTTGGGCTGCGACAAGGACATTGGCGATGGCCCGGAATCCCCCACCCGATGCATTTAGTGCGGGTGCCGGATGCCAAGGACAGGTGCGGGATGATGAACGCGGATGGCGACAGGCAGGGCAGGCGGTAGCCTTACCTCTCCGGCGTCACTGGCTGCGGCCCCGCATGGGCACTGGCACCGGAGAGGGTCCCCGAGCCTGGAACTGATGCTGCTCGCTGGCTGCTGCTGGTGCTGTGACGGTGGCGCCGCGTGACGAGCTCCGTGCCCCCGGCCCGGCCCTCCCCGAACCCCTCCCGATGCGCTGGTTGGCTGCGCGCTGCGTCCGAGGCTCAGCCGCCAGCTGGTTTGTCGCGCGCGGGGAGAGGGACGGGCAGAAGAGATGGGGTTGGAGCGGGAGGGGGCTGGGGCTGGCCTGTGACATCACCAGTGAGGGGTGGGGGACAGGCGCCCGGAATCCGAGGCAGCATCCCCTCGCTCAGCACTGCCTTTCACTCCCAGAGAGGGACTCGGTGGCGCCCAGCTGAACCTGCCTGCAGACTCGGAACCAAGCCCTTACTGCTTTCAACGGAAATCATAAAAACTGTGAAACATCCACCTGCTGGGCCCGGGGACATCAACACAGGCGCGTCCTAGGGAACAAAAAATACAGCTAGGTGTGGGGTTGGGGCGCTTCTTTCACTGAAGAAGGTATGTAGGGTCGGGTTAGGGATCTGGACTCCAGGGAGTTAACAGGTGGGTCTGAGCATCGCTTCTGTTGTCTGGCCCAGATCATCAGAAGACAGCCAGAACGTTGCAGGGAGTGCTAACCAGGATGACGCCACAGCCGGCGAGCTGACTCGAACCTCCTTCCTTCAGCTGGAGACCTCCATCCTTGTCCCCCTATTCCATGGCTGTCATCACACACTATTACTCGGGCCTAGATTCCCTGGCCCTCAACCCACACGCTTCTCTGGATCCTCAGTGGCCAAAACCAGCCTTCACGGACTCTGCTCCGTTTTCCTTTTTCAGTAGGGCTTGGCTGGCAGCCGTTGCACTATGAGGCCAACCACAGCCCAGGACTGAGTATCTCGGACAGGGCCTATGGTCGCTCACCCACCAGGACACCCCGCACTGCGGTGGTGGGTGTGATGACGTCATGTGACCATGAAACCAGGGCTCCAGGCTTCCTCTCCACAGAGCCCTGCCGGAAGCATCCCCTGCTCCGGGCAGTTTGCTGAGCACTTTAAATTGTTAGCCACTAAATCCACAGCAGCCTGAGGGAGGCAGTGCTCCACGTCAGCTCGCCATGCCACTGTGCAGTAAGATTCCTTGTAAGCAGCGTGGGCCCAGACCCTCCATCTTCTGGCAGATACTACCTCCACTCCCACCCCGCCCCTCCAAAGCCAGGGAAAAAGCCCCCCCCCCTTTTTTGTTTCCCAGTATTACCCAAATACGCTACTGGACAGCTATAGACAATAGAGCTAATAGGCAGCTAATCTTCAAGAATGATAAGAACAAAAAGTCATAGTGTTTATGACTCCATTTTCTCTTGTTAATCCGGACAAAGCCCATGGCTCTCCACGCAGCTGAGCGTTTGCTAAGCATTCATATCGTTTGAGTTTTTGAATTGCCAGCATATGGAAGTATGTTCCTTACCATTGGCTGCCGCTGTGACAAAAGCCAACTAAGAGAGGGAATGGTTTTTGTTAAGAAGGTATGTATAGTCCGGGCAGTGGGAAGCTGTGTTCCCGGGAGGACATGTTAGCAGGAGCCTGAGGAGCCGGTCACACCGTGTTCACAGTCAGGAAGCAGAGAGAGAGAGAGAGAGAGAGATCACTGTTGAACTGGATTACTTTTTCTGCTTTATTCAGTTCAGGACCACAGCCCTTGAGACCGTGCTACCCACATTTAGGGTTTTTCTTCCCTGAGTTGAGTTTTTCTGGAAACACCTCATAGACAAAGTCCATAATGTGTCTGTCTCCTGGTGATGTTAAATCCAGCCAGGTTGACAATGAAAAAAGATGCCATTGTTTCTGTACTTTTTTTTTTAATATATGTTTCTTCCATTTTGTGGTGTGTGTGTGTGTGTGTGTGTGTTATGCATTTATGAGTGAGACCACATGTGTGTGCAAGTGCATTGCATGTGTGCACTTGTATGTAGCAGCCAGAGGCTGACACAGAGTATTTTCCTTGGCCACCCACCTTGTGTGCTGAGGTAAGGTCTCTCAAGTGAACCCAGAGCTTACTGATCGGGCGAATCTATCTATCCAGCTCTATCCAGAGATTCCTGTCTCAGTCTCCCAAGCAATGGGATCGGGTGGGCCACCGCACCTACCCAGCATTTACACAGATCCTGGGGAACGGAACTCTGGTCCCTCATGCCTTCGAGGCAAACGTTTACCCACTGAGTTGTTTCCCCAGCCCCATTTCTTCTTTTCGATGTGGTTTTGAATATTGTCAGAAATCCAACTTTAGTTTTGTGAATCTTCTCGGTTTCCCCTTTATTTTACTTATTTCTGTCCCCGTCGGTTATTTCCTTCACGAGTCTTTGGATTCTGTTTGTGTCTCTCTTTAAGCTTTTCCGCATTCTAAAATTTCAGTATCTATTTGGAGCTGCAGAACTCCCCCGCCAGCCCTGCCTCGGACTGATCTAACCAGTTGGCTCCTGTGTTTTCGTGGACATTCTGATCTAAACGTTTGTGTGCCTAACCTCTCCTGAATAATTTTACTTTCCTGTAGTGTGTGTTTGTAATCTTTTGTTACCACTTTCCAATTAAACCTCCTTACATTACAAAGTACGTTCAGTCAAGGTCCTGGCCAGAAGTAGATGTATGTATGTGCACTGTGTGAATTGAGGAGGCTGAAGAGACAAGAAGAGGGCATTGGATCACCTAGGACTGTAGTTACAGTGGGCTGTAAGCCTCCATGTGGGTGCTGGGAACTGGTGCCTGATCCTCTGTACACAGCCAGTGCTCTTAACAGCTGAACCACTACAGATCCTGATCATTTTGCTGTTGTTTGCTTGCTTGCTTTTTGTTTTGTTTGTGTGAGACAGGGTTTCTCTGTAAAGCCTTGCTTGGCTGCCCTTGAATTCACTCTGTAGACCAGGCTAACCTTGAACTCACAGAGATCCGCCTGCCTCTGCCTCCCAAGTGCTGGGTTTAAAGACATGTGCCACCACTGCCCAGTCAATTCTTGGAACTTTTAAGTCAACTTTGTTTCAACCTTTAATTATCTAGCTTAATCCACTATAATAATCAGCTATATCAAGACCCAGTTTTAACACCATATTTTAAATGTCCATTAATTCAGTGGTGTTCTCCTTATTTCTCATTGAATAATCTGAGTTTTCTTCTGCTGAATTATTCTTACTTTTAGTCTATGGCAATTGCTCTGAACTTAAGACTCATTTTGATTTATCCTGTATGCCAGTTTAAATTTTTTTTTAAAATTATATGTATGTTTGAGTGTGTGTACATATGTATGCAAGTGACTTAAGAGGCCAGAGGAGGGCATCAGATTCCCTGGAGATGTAATGACAAGCCATTTCGAGCCACCCACTGTGGCTGTTGGGAACTGAACTCACATCCTCTACAAGAACAAGTGTTAACTGCTTAGTCATCTCTCCAGTTCCAACAAGTCTGCTTTTTTTGTTTGTTTATCACTATAATAAAATATTTGCCAGGCAGAGGTGGTGCACATCTTTAATCCCAGCACTGAGAGACAGAGGCAGGAGGATCTCTGTGAAATTGAGGCCAGCCTGGTCTACAGAGTGAGTTCCAAGACAAATTTCAAAGCTACACAGAGAAACCCTGTCTCGAAAAACTAAAAAAACTAAAATAAAATATTTAAAACAATGAAACTGCAGAAAGAAAAGGCTCAGTGTCAGCAGACGACCCTGGAGGCTCCAGGCACAGCAGGGAAGGGGCGACTCCTCTGTGTCGGCCTCTTGGTGAGGGCTGCAGATCGTGACTGGAGTGTGCTGGAGCCAAGTGTTTATCTCCAATGCCTTGAGGGCTTCCCACTAGGCTCCACCTTCTAAAAAGCTGTGCCCTCTCCCCACAGTGCCACCTGGGGTCAGGACTTTGTGTGGGACACTCACTGTGCACAGCACAGGACTCATACACCTGGAGGACACACAGTTTCAATGTTCACTTTCTGGGCATCACCTTGGTCCCTTCTTCCCTATTGCAGGCACTGTTGAGTCTGTCTAGACTTATAGTTATGGCAGAAACACAGTCTTCTTCCCCTGGCTCCTTGCTCTAAACCAGTGGATGCACATTCTGAAATACTTGACCCTCTTATTGCCTCATTCTCCGTGTTTGTTTTGAGACTGGGTCTCACTTAGCCCTGGCTCGACTAAAATCTGCTATGTAGCTGAGAATGACCTTGAGCCTCTGATCTTCTTGGTGGGTATCACCTTGTCTAGCTCCATACTTCTTGAAGCTTCTTTTATATCTACATTATTCATGACATGTAAAGTCTTCTAACATGGATCCTGGCTGGAAATTATTCTGATGTCTCAGAGGCAGGAGGATTGCAATATTTCCAGGCCAGCCTAGGCTATGCAGTGAGTACCAAGCTAATTTGGCCAACACAGTGAGACTTTACCATGTGTGTGTGTGCGTGCGCGCGCGCACACACACACACACACACACACACACACACACACACACACACTTTACAAAGGAGGAGGCGGGGCCGAAGCCGTGCTGACTGGTGTGCTCAAATAAATTATGGAAGAACACAGAAACACAAAATTAGAACAAAAGAGAAAACAGATTTAGAGTTAGTGAAATGCTCCACACAAATAACTTGAAAAATATGTATGAAGTGAGTGGTTTTGTGAATAAATCAACTGAAACTCAAATAGACAGGCATCATGGAGGAAATGGACACTTTCACAGAGAAGCACCCCCACAGACTTGGCCAGGAGAATTTCACATTCTTTCAAACATAAAAATAGTCGAGAGTCTTCTGGTGTTGGCTAAAGCGATTGACAGCTACAAGATGGAAGATGCTCATGAAACCCTTTTTCAAAGTGAGGACAACAACGATGCCTGGTGGGGAGGCCTTAGTGACCTCCAAGGGTTTCCTGGTGATGCTAACACTGTAGTAACACCATGACTGGGCAGGATCCAGGGCTACATTCCGTGCTACACTATGGCTAAGCCTTTGGATTGAAGTGGTCAAGACGAGGGGGTGTAGCTAAGCAGTCAAAGGTGTGTCTGCCTTGGATAAAGAGCTCTGGCTTTGTTGCTCAGTACAAAAATAATAAATCAGCATCTCCTTTGGGGAAGGCTGAC